TTATGTCTTCCTAGTGAATATGCTGAAAATAATTTAGTTTCAATAGAAGTAGCATAATAGGTTTGGGAATTAGGATTTTGAGTTTAATTACTTGTTGGCTTGTAACTGTTTCATAATTCCAAGGCCCAAGAAAAAATTTCATGATTTACTATTTTTAAACTTAATATATAAATATATTTTTCACATTATAAATTTATTCGGTACGGTTCGGTATTTTTTCAATTTATTTTCATAAAATAAAAAACTTACCCTAATTATTGGTACAGTTATAGATTTATATAAAAATAAAAAAGACCTAAAAATCGATTCGATACGATACAATTTGGTCGGTTTAATCGGTTTTTAAATACACTTTGACACCCTTAGTTACAACCAAGCAAAAGAACCCATAAAGCTGAACAAACCTCAGCTTTGGTAACCAACAGCACAGGCGCACCAATAACTACCCATACCCCTAACTCCATCATCCTCTATGAATATAATAGTCTGTTTGGCCAATCTTCTAAAATCACTTATTAATTTGAGAAGTATTTTTTGTCAAAAATATTTTTCTCAAAAGTACTTTTGGTAAGAAATAGTTTATATTTGACTATTTAATTTGAAAAGTACATCTGATTATCAATTAGTGTTTGGCCAAGCTTTTAAAAAGCGCTTCTAAATATATTTTTATCAAAAGTATTTTTCAAAAAAGTACTTTTAGAGAGAAACTATTTTTTTGCTTCTCCAAAATTACTTCTGTTTCCGCTCAAAAATACTTTTTTTTTCTTCCAAAAGTTTGGCCAAACAGGCTATCAATTCGGCTTACTCAACTGTCCAGCCAGCTTTAGCATCGACTATGAACCTTCTGTATGTGTATGATCTTCCTCACCAGCACCTCAGGAGTACTCATTTTACTTAGAAATTTTTCTGATTCCTCTCTTGTCAAATGTGGTAGATAGCTCCAGCCAACGCCATAAGGTATGTATTTCTTCTAACCATGTGATCTGATTGAAAAGGTGGGGGGAAAAGATTTAACTCCACATTTACTTGGCTTCTGTCAAGATGTCAATAGATTTGTATTAATTAGGTGCATACAACTTTTAATTTAAAGAAGGCAAAATACATAGTTTATCTATCAAGCTTGCAGCGAAATACCTGTTATACTCTTCTCTTTCACGAAAATTTTTTTACACATTCAATCTTTTAAAAGTGTGTCTAAGATATACCATTTTTGTGCTTGACCAATTTTTCAGATAATGTGAAAGTCATGCCCTAATAGGGTCGTGACACGTGTCATTGACTTTAAAAAGGAAAAAAAATTAGAAATTAAAATTAAAATCCATCTTCTTCATCTTTCTATTTTGTATCTTAAGCACCATTGTTGCTACCACCATGGTTGTTTGTGAGAAAGTTTCCAACAACACCAAAATTCAACCACACTATCTAAACAACTAGCCGAAAATAATCGAGCAACAAATTGAGTTCAATAACCCGATAATCAACAAGACCCAATTGAATTTTCAAGCTTTTTTCGATACCCCATCAATGGTGGATTCTAGATTTTTTCACTAAACCTTAAATACTACTGTTAAAACTTTTAAATCTATCACAAATAAATAGTTTTCACAATATTTAGATAATAAACCAACAAAATCTGCTCAATTTTAGATCTAAAATTGATATGTTCTTTCAAAAATTCTATTTGGAGAAGAAAATGAGGGGAGGGTGGTGAGGAAGAAGACCAGAGGGAGGGGGAGGAGAGACAAAAAATGGGATTTTTTACGGGCTTCACGCGTTTTTTTTTTGTAAACACGCAAGTGCTATCTGGTCAAAAGTAGTATGCCTTAGACACACTTTTAAAATCTTGAGTACGTAAAAGGTTTCCCGTGAAAGAGAGGTGTGTAATAGGGATTTCGCTGCAATGTTGATAGGTAAACTATGTATTTTGCCTTTAAAGAAGGGAAAATCTCACTTTATACTTATTAAGTCCAAACTTTTTACCTTCTAATACCCATGCCCAAACTATTTACTGCTCCTACCCATACGACCCAGACTATTTACGCGGCCCACCTATTAGTGGATTCTCATCCCCGGCCCAAGTTACTTCACCCAGCAGCCCACGCAATTAGCGGATCCCATACCCACCGCCTTTAATGCCTCATTTATTTTGTCTTCATCCTTTAACACAACAGACAATTTTCAAATCTCCATAGCCAAACCATGAGAACCCATATTTCACCCAGTTTCGAGTTTTTAATTTTTTGATTCTGTTCTATCTCTTCGTCTAATAGTAATTTCTGGATGAAATTTTTGCTTGTGAAAGTACATTTTAGTGAAAGTGGGTTTTCAAAATCATAGAATTTTTGTATTTTTCTTTGTACTTTTGTGAATCAATATCTATAGGTTATTGTTTTCACTATGGGTCGGAAGCATTGTGCGTGTAGATGGTGGCGATGTGGACAATATCATTCTTCAACCCAAATAGTTGCTAACCCCGTTGCCTCAGTCATGTCCGGTCCTAATTTTTTATTATTTTTTTATTCTCCATCTGTGTTTAGTCCTAACCCTAGCAGTAGTCGTGTTGAAAACATAACTGAAAATGTAGAATTAGAGGGTGAAAAAGGAAACAATATTGATGCTTCGTCAGTCGATGGAACTCCCTACCAGTCTTTACCCGACATAAATTCCGAACCAGTCATAGCAGGTGTTGTTGTGAATGATAAGGGAAAAGGTAAAGTTGTTGAGAATTCTGAGTTAGGGGGAAGTCGGCGTGAATCCGTACCTGAAACAGAGACACAACCAGTAGATGTTGATTGTAGCAATGATTCTCAGTTAAAAAAGAAAAATATTGGTGTCGCACCCAAGAAGGCAATTTTCTTAAAATTAGGATATGTGCTTTTGAATGTATAGTACATTGTTATTTTTTGATTTTCTGGTATGCTTTTGTATTATATTATAGTTATAGTCAGTTGTGTTATTTTTAAGTGAATTCTATTTCTAAAATAATTTATATGATCATGTTTTGCATTGTTGAGATTCCCTTGTGCTTATAGACATAATGTATGTGTGTTATGCAATAGTTTTATAATTATAGGCAGTTGTTAGAACAACCCCGTACAATTATATACCATGTTAGTATAGCTATATACTATATTGGTATATTGGTATCATATGCTTTTGGATCCTTTTTTGGTTGTCTTGGCTATTTGTTTTTCCTTTAATAATAGTAGTATCGTACAATATCTTAAAAATACTTTATAGCTGCAAACCTTTTTGCTTTTTGTCTTTATGCCTATCTGTTATGTAATAGTAGTATAGTCATCTATAGTTGTCGGGAATTAGCCAGTATAGCTGTATACCCTGTTGGTATAGTTATATGCCGTATTGGTATCGTATGGTAGTTGTAATATTTTTAGTTTTTTGGTTGTAACATTTTTGATTTCCTGGTATACCCTGTTGGTATAGTTATAGACAGTTATTGGAACAACCCCGTACAACTATATACCATGTTAGTATAGCTATATACTATATTGGTATCATATGATTTTGGATCCTTTTTTGGCTGTCTTTGCTATTTGTTTTTCTTTAATAATAATAGTATCGTACAATATCTTGAAAGTACTTTATGGATGCATACCTTTGCTTTTTCTCTTTATGCCTATATGTTATGTAATAGTAGTATAGTCATTTATAGTTGTCGGAAATTAGCCAGTAGAACTGTATATCCTGTTGGTATAATTATATGTCGTGTTGGTATCGTATGGTAGTTGTAACATTTTTGGTTGTTTTAGTTGCATTTTTAAGTGAATTCTATTTTTGAAATTATTTATATGAACATGTTTTGCAGTGTAGGGATTTTCTTGTGCCTATAGACATAGATTATAAACCAAAGGTTGATTGGGATACCAACTGCCATGTTATTCGTCTATTGAAAGAGAATTTATCAAAGACGCAACTTCAGATGTTTAAGAAAACATGCTTTGGATATTTTTTGGATCTTCCACCAGTTATTGTGCAGATTTGGGTTATGCACCATTTGCTTATTAGAGAAGTACATTATGAGGTAAAAAATGAGATGCGGTTTGTAGTGAGTGACTCTAGGTTGCGCTTTGGTTTAGGTGAATTTGCACTCGTTACTGGACTGAAATATAAGGGTGATACAAATATAGATAACGTAGAAGAGAATAGGTTGATTTTAAAATATTTTGGGATTGCATCTGTGACATTAGCCCAACTAGAAGATTGTTTTACGAAAGGAAACAGATGATGATGCGTTGAAGATAGCAGTTCTTTATTTTGTGAATAATTTCTTACTTTCTCTGCTCAAAACAAAGGTTATTTCACGGTCTTACATTGATTTGGTTGAGTACGGTGATTTTAATAATTATCCTTGGGGTATAGATATTTATAACGCTACAATCGACTCGTGTTTCAACAAGTTTCCAGATAAGCTTTCTTTTTATAGACTAGGTGGCTTCCCGTTGGCTTTACAAATTTGGCTGTATGAATGCTGCCCAAGTTTGGATGGTTACTTTGCTGATCATATTGGAAACAAACTTTCACGAATTCTGAATTGGGTAGTCATGGGTCAAATATAGAATAAGCGAGTTGCTTTGCGAATGTTTAGCTTGCAACGCGAGCAGGTAATTTTCTCATATTTTTATTGTCTCTCTTAATGTTTTGATACAGTAGTTTAGTCACGGATAGTTGTAGCAATATCCCAGATCAATGATATACTTTGTTGATATACATATATACTATATTAGTATCATATGGTAATAAGAATCTTTTCTGCAACTTATACTTTTAATTTTCTCATACCTTTATTGCATCTTTTAATATTTTTGTACAGTATTTTAGTCAGAGGTAGTTGTAGCAATATCCCATATCAATGATATACTCTGTTAGTATATATGTATACCATAGTGGCATCATATGGTAATAAAGATCTTTTATCTTTCTACGTTTTATTATCATTTTTATTTCTAATTATTGTGCTTAATAATTGCAGCTAAAGAACATCACCCTAACTGATGCTGAGAAGCAACTATTTGATGTGTGTGGTCTAAACTTTGAAATTGAAGTTGATTGCACTGACAGTCAGCCTGATAACTTTCAGGTTTTTGGCACTCAATTGCCAAAGACACAAAGTATGCATCAAAGTACTGGAGGTGATTTCGAACCTACCAATGCTGAGGTAATGAAGGAGTTACAAGGTTTGAAGCTTTTTGTAGAGACCAAGTTTGAGTAGGTACTTGCAGCTATTGGTAGACAGTCAATGAAACCAGAGGAAAATTCAGTGGTATTGATCTTTTATATAATATAATGCTATAGTATATTGTTCAAAGATGCAATATATATTTATAGGATACTATTCCATTCTTTACTTTTAGTGCACATAGTATTCTTGTAATATACATAATAATAAAATTGTTATTTTCTCATTTTCAGCACAAGTAACAGGATAATGATCCTTACTTTGGTGAGATTCATAATGATTATGACCAGTTTGAAAGGGGCGATGGTGGGAATGATCCTGTAGTTATTGGAGATAGCACGCCCAAAGCACTTTCTAGTATGTAAATCACAAATTTGATTTTATTTTTTTTGCTGTTGTTTTTTGAAAATAGTACTATTGATTATACTTTTATATGTTTAGTATCTAGTTTTGGTTGGGTTGGTCGAGAGGATCGTGCCAGTGGTGTCAATATGAAGAACGTCACAACAAGACATGGCGTAGTTAATGATGATTTGCGTTCTGGTAAAATGTTGTATATGTAATTTTTTTTATTCTTTTTTTTATTTATTTAACTTTATGTATTTGTGCGTTCACTAACCTTTTTTAACTTTTTTCAACCCCCTTCGTAAACGAGCATGATCTTGGCTTGGATTCTAACTTTGAACTGTCTGCATCTGCAATTGATCAAATCACTGTCATTATGCAATTAGCAAAATATAAGCACCCATCTCATGATGTTAAAAAGCCTGGACCTGCTCCGTTGCCATCAGAAATCCCTGCACAGACACGATCATATGTTGTTATTGAGTCTAATACTGCTCCACAGGGTACGATTGTTGATGTTACTAATTCAGAAGTGAGTATGTAAATGAGAGATTTTTAATAGTTTTTTAATTTAAATAGTGATGCTGATAATGCTTTTATGTGTTCAGCATCTCGGGTTGATGGTGTTGGTCAAGTGGATGTTGGTGGCAATAATGTGAATTTGCCTTCTGGTAATGTCTTCTATATATAACTTTTCATTCTTTTTTTAAAAAATTTCTTAACTTTGTATATTTGTTGATTCACAAGCATTTTCTAATTTAAGCCCCATGTCGACACGAGGGTGATCTTAACTTAGATTCTGATTTTGAATATACTGATTCTCAACTTGATCTAATTGCTGTCATTACACAAGGAGGGAGACGTAATGTAAATCAATCTGGAAATGAACTGACAACTCGTGATGTAAATAAGTCTAAACCTGATCAGTCAGTATCAAAAACTGTTGTCCAGACACAAACAAATGTTGAAACAACTCCTGCAGTTTTCACACGGAGAAGACGCCCTGCAGCTATAAAACAGTCGCCGTATAGGAATGACTGGCAATCTGGTGTTAGTGCAGTTGGGGGATCCTCGAAGGTTATCAAAGGAAGATTTTCATTTGTAAATGACATTTCAGTGGCTGTTGATTATAAGACGACTGCATTCTCAAATTTTGTTGAAGCAAACATGCAATTGGGAGAGTGCGTATTCGTTTTCATGTACTTTTGTTTTTATGTTTTCTTAATTTTTGTTGTTATATTTCTTATCCATATCTTCTTTTATACGAAATAGGGAAGTGTATTTACCTGGTGATCAAAAGCTGGATACTTGTTTTGACTTTGAAGTTGAACATATTGTTGATAAGACGTTTTTCCATACATTAAACTATTCTGGCAGGCCGCTGTCTAGTTCGGTATGTGTACTGCTTTTTATTTTTGTTGTTGTATTATTTCATGCATATTGTTAGTGTTAGTCATGTTTTCTCTACTCATTTTTGCAGCACTTGGATATTATATTCTACTATCTTAGGAAGAAGGTGAAGTATATAATTAATATGCCAATCAAAGTCACAACTACAGATGCTCTTTTTAATAATATCATCCAAAGAGTTTACACAGAATTTGTAAAAGGTGGGAAACAAGATCATTTGATTGATAGATCAGATGATATAATGGAGTACATGAAAGGATTTAGGATACATTACAACACTCCGTGGCACCAGGTTGATCATGTCCTCTTTCCAATTAATTTGGCAGAAAAGTGGCATTGAATATTGGGGTGTGTATCATTCCATAAGAGATATTTTTATATATATGACTCGCTACGTAGTCGAAAGCACAAAAAAGTTATTCAAAAGGTGGCAGAGGCATATGCTGTGTTGATCCCCGTGTTTCTAGTTAGCATTAAATTTTATAACCAAAGAAGTGATATTGTACTACAAAATGGTTTGCACTTAGAAAATGACTTGACTGATCCAATTGAGATTGAACTGATTACAAATCTGCCAACATAACAAAATTCGTAAGAATAGTTACTTTTTTTACTTTATTTTCCTCATTCATATTAATATTTTTTACTACTAATCGATTTTTATATTTTATTCATTTGTTTTATTTCAGAGATTGTGGAGTATATGTTGCATGTTTTGCTGAGTACATTATTGAAGGTCTTCCAATCCCTGTTGCCAATTTTGATGTGGATGGTCTTCGAGCTAGGTTTGGTATACTGTTGTGGCACTATGGGAGGAACAAGCAGTTGCATGGCAAATCAAGTGAATCTGAGGCTCCAGTAGCAAGAAAAAAAGACTCGTGGAAAGAAGCGCAAGAAGTAGTATAGGTCTCTTTTTTTTTTTAGTTAATCGTAGCATGAAAACTTAGCAGGATTTTAATAGTTTTTTGTGAAGTATGGTATTTTACATTATTACATTGTAAAAATGCTAGCTTTTAAAAGTGTGTTCTATGAATACAATTGTAATAGTACAATATGTTGCTATAACTATTTTAATGTTGGAATCTATCTTCAGTTTGTTTTATTAGTCTTTTCTTAGGCTTCTTCAATAAAGTTGTTTATTTATTAGGAGTGCCTTTCGGAGACAAAATATTTTCAGCACTTGAAGTCAAGCCATTAGTGTAGAACATAGTTGTTATAGCAGCACTGTTAGTTCCTACTCCTACGGCCGTTTGTAGTAGGAGGAGCATTGTTAGTTCGATGTAATACACCAACATAAGTTGTTTTTGGAGGTATATTTTTAAGGGAGTTACGATGTTCAAAAAAGAGGAACTATATTGCTATTTGGTTGAAGAATAGGGGCGAGCATTGATTTGAATGAGAAGAAATATTTTTAGAAAGTGAACTGGTTTTGAATTTGTATTGAGAGTAGTTTTTAGTTGTAGTTGAATCTAAGAAATTCTGTGCAGATTTTGCATTGCTGCACCAATTGTATTCTGCAAAGATTTTGGTTCAGGTATATTAGTGCAGTAGAACTATATACCAATCAGGTATACAGATATATCATTTGGGTATTACGTTGTATTTGAGTACCCTTTTTTCCTGCAGCAACTAGATGTAAATACTGACACGAGTTACAAAGTGTGCCAATTTTGTTGAGGAAGTATGTACAAATGTTGTATTTTTTGGTGCACCACTTGTGTTTCTCTGTACATATTTTGGTTTAGTCATATTATTGTAATACAACTATATATCATTAAGGTATAGAAATATACCATTCGGGTATCATATTATATTTGAGTACCTTTTTGTTATACTTCAATATTGACATGAGTTGCAAAGTGTGCCCATTTTGTTGAGGAAGTATGTACATATGTTGCATTTTTTTTGGTGCACCACTTGTATTTCTGCACATATTTTGGTTTAACCATATTAGTGCAATATAACTATATACCAATAAGGTATATAAATATACCATTCGGGTATCACATCGTATTTGAGTAGCTTTTTTATATATATACAAATATACCATTCGGGTATCACATTGTATTTGAGTAGCTTTTTTTTATACTTCAATATTGACATGAGTTGCACAATGTGCCCATTTTATTAAGAAAGTATGTACAGATATTGTATTTTTTGGTGCACCACTTGTATTTCTACATATATTTTGGTTTAACCATATTAGAGCAATACAACTATATACCAATAAGGTATACAAATATACCATTAGGGTATCACATTGTATTTGAGTACCTAATGATGTACAATAACTGCATGTAAATGGCTTCCAATTAGTTATGCTTCAATACTAATATGAGCTGCAAAGCGTGCCCATTTTGTTAACGATGTATGTACAAATGTTGCATTTGGGGCACCACTTCTATTTCTGCACATATTTTGATACGAATAAGGTATACAGATATACCAATAAGGTATACAAATATACCACTTGGGTATCGCATTATATTTTAGCATCTTTTTTTCCTGCAGCAACTAGATGTAAATGCATCCCACTTTTATATACTAAAATAAAAAATAAATAGATTCTTACAGAACACACAAGTAGTCATATAAATGTTTTACCAAAAAGTAATTTGGCGAAGAATCACCATACTAAATATATGTCTAGTGCAAGACATGCATTTTATTTCTCTGCAATTCAAATGATATGACTCTACGATATATGAGTTCTATACAAACATTAAAGCATTATATCAATCTCTCTTTGGAATATTTTGGCACGTTCTCCGGTTGTGTCCTTTTTTCCCGCATAGTGCACATGTAACTGTATTTCCTTCCTAACCTCATATGCCCCTGTTCTTTTTAGGTCTTCCTGGTTTTATTTTTTCTTTTGGTGGCAGTACCACCTGCGAAGAGACATGTTCTAGAATTTGCCACGTTGTTTCATCAAGCAAAGAGTTTAATGGTATGTCATATGTTTCAACAAGTAGTCTATGCTGTAGTAATCCGAGCAATACCTGTATGAATCCATATGGAATTTTTGTATAACTGCCATTGCATGTGGACATGGAATATCGTCTAGCTTAAATCTTCCACAAGTACAGTTTTTTTCATGTAGGTGCACCACATTTCTTGTTTGGTCATCAATTACTAAATGTAAGAATTGAGTTGATGGCAACACCTAATATAATTTTAATTAAAGAAAAGTTATTAGCTGCATGAAGTAATACTATTTTTTTTAATAATAATATGCAGTTGTTTAGTAGAATCTCTAAGGTGCAGAAGTAAAACTACAGTACATGTAGTGTTTTTATGATTCTGAAAATGCATACCGTCATCGTCTGTGATAAGATAATATTATCTGCCGATATTTTTTCATACTTTACACCGATGTTCATAAATGATTCCACGACATCCTTCCGATTGGTGTAATTCCATTTCTGAATCAGTGTTGTCATAAAGTCAAGCAAATTCACAACTGGAAGGTCTCTTGCGTGCTTGTTTGCTGCATTTACTGATTCCGCAATATTCGATGTCATGGTTCTATTTGCCTTGGAATGCACCCGGGACTATTTATCATATCCAATATACATCAGGTATATTTTTACTCTACTATCAATAGATTCTACCTCTGCCATATGTCTGTTGAATTCTTCAACAGTGTATGCTCTTGCTAACGCAAAGTATACTTCTTTGATTTATTTTTGGTTCTTCCTGAAGTTCGTCTTTATGTTGTTCCACAGATGGAACATACATGCACAATGAGGGACTTCTGGATAGACAATCGAAGTTGCTCTCCATATACTATCATGCATGTCTGATACAATGCATATTCCCTCTCTTTGTCCATAGGTTTCTCTGAATTGCACGAAGAACCACTCCCACGATGCATCGTTTTCCGAATCAACAATTGCATATGCGAGGGGTAGAATTTGTCCTGTAAAATTAAAGGAAAAAATATTAGTTACAACACACAATGTTAATTTATCATTTCATATATTAGTATAGTCATAGGTAGGTGCAGGTATGTAGCAAAATAATTATATACTCTGTTGGTATACTTGTATACCATATTGGTATCATATGATATTTGAAAATCTTTTTTGCAGCTTTAACTGAATGTAATTGAATCAGTACTGATAAAGCACATCCAAAAAGCATATGGTATGGACTTAAGCTACATGGAAGCATGGAGATCAAAATAAAAAGCAATGCAATTGTTGAGAGGAACACCAAGTGTGTCATAGAAGAAAATACCAACATATCTTTATATGTTAGAGTACGCTAACCCAGGATCACTAACACGACTACACACTGAAGTAGATGGGAGCTTCTTGTATGCATTCATAGCTATATATGCATCGATTAGAGGATGAATCTATTGTAGGCCAACAATTGTAGTTGATGGAAGTTTTTTAAAGTCAACATATAGAGGGACCATACTCACGGCTTCCACGCAAGACGCAGAGGGTAAGAAAAAAAGTTGTTTCAGAATCAGTATTGAATCAGTATTGGTAAAGCACATCAATTATTCAATACTGATTCTGAAATAACTTTTTTTCTTACCCTCTGCGTCTTGCGTGGAAGCCGTGAGTATGGTCCCTTTATATGTTGACTTTAAAAAACTTCCATCAACTATAATTGTTGGCCTACAATAGATCCATCCTCTAATCGATGCATATATAGCTATGAATGCATACAAAAAGCTTTCATCTACTTCAGTGTGTAGTCGTGTTAGCAATCCTGGGTTAGCGTACTCTAACATATAAAGATATGTTGGTATTTTCTTCTATGACTCACTTGGTGTTCCTCTCAACAATTGCATTGCTTTTTCTTTTGATCTCCATGCTTCCATGTAGCTTAAGTCCATACCATATGCTTTTTGGATGTCTCTCTAGATATCTGTTGGTGTATATATGGTTTTTGGGTCAACAAGTTTATCTTATACTACAACTGCAACAAAAGCTGAGACAACTTATTTTTGTGAACAAAATCTCTTATCATTTAAACAACTGTGGACAGAATTGAAATCCGTCACTTTGAAAAGATTTGATGCTCGCAGGCTTGATGCTTTAAGTCTCCAAGTGCATCTTTCATCCACGCATTCAAGGGTATACCTGTTTATAATACAAATACATTTATATATCATATTTTATTGATAAAAAAAACACACAAATCCGTACAATTCTATACTCACATAGTATACTCATATAACATACCTATATACTATATCAGTATCATGTTTTACTGATAAAAAGCATAGACAAACCATCACAATTCTATACTCACATAGTATACCGATTATACATATATATTATATTGGTATCATATTGTACAGTTAATAACAAACACACAAATCAGTACAATTATATACTCACATAGTATACTGATATAGAATACTTATATACATATCAGTATCATCTTTTACTGATAAAAAACGCAGACAAACCGGTTCAATTCTATACTCGCATAGTATACTAATTTAGCATACTTATATACTATATCTATATCATCTTTTACTGATAAAAAAATACAAACACAAACTAATACAATTCTATACTTACATAGTATACTGATATAGCATAGTGATATACTATATCGGTATCATATTTTACTGATTAAAAAAAACACACACAAACCAGTAGAATTATATACTCACATAGTATACCGATATAGCATCCTGATATACTATATAGGTATCACATAGTTATTTACTTGAAATAATGCAGACGAACCTTCTTGGGCATGATTTATTAACCCGATATTGATATTTTTCTTTAACGACATACTGTTTCATAACGAGAGCCAACAGGTTCTTGTCTTTGTGAATTTGTCCTTTTTCAACTTTTTGATGAAATTGATTAGTTATGATGTTTGTATCATCAAGTTCTATACCGGTGTCATCTCCTTCTTGCACATCAAAAGTACTAATCATATCACTGCTTTCAAATTGTGTAATTTCTG